TGAGAGAGAGAGAGCACGCACGCAAAGCAAGGAAATGTGCAGTTTTCCAGGAAGGCATACTGTTCAGTTGTGTCTCCTATCTTTTATCCGAGATTAGGTCTTCCCTTGACATGGCTTATCTTTCTCTCTTATTACACTTTAAAATTTATTTTGTGCATGTGTATACGCATGTGTTGTGGGCGCATGCGTGCCACAGCACATGTGTGGAAGTCAGAGGACAACCTGATAAAGTCAGTTTTCTCTTTCTACCATACTGGTTCTGGGGATCCAACTCAGGTCACCCTTGGTTAGTAGCAAGCACTTTTACCCACCAAGCCATCTCTCCAGTCACCTGATTTTTTAAAATTAAATTAATTTAATGTGTGTGTGTGTGTGTGTGTGTGTGTGTGTGTGTGTACTGCATGCATACAAGTGTGCAGGTATGACCATGTGTGCCTTTACGAGACCAGAACAGAATGTCAGGGATTTTCCTTTATCCATCTCTGCCTTACTGCCTTGAAACAGGGTCTCTGACAAAATTGAAAGCTCACCCATTCATCTAAGCTGAACTATCCAGTATTTGTAGGGTATCGCTCTCATTCATATCATAAATATATAGTGTTGTCTTTTTATTCTTCTTGGAGTCAGGAAAAACAATGTGGCTCTGTTAATTACCAAATAATAAGAATTGCTTTCTATAAAAGTCAGTAGACTTTATGTGCCTCTTTCATACAACCTAGCATATATTCAGAGGGGAGCAAACTGTCAAGATCCACCTGTCTCTGCCAATGCTGGGGTTATTGGCATGAATGGCCATACCTGGCTTTTTATGTGGGTGTTGGGGATTCAAACTCAGGTCCTCATGTTTGCAGAGCAAGTGCTCTTACCCACAGAGCCATCTCCCCAGACCGAGGCCCTGGCTTTGATTTCTCTATGTGTAAAGATATAAAATTAGCAATAATATTTACAATAGTATTTGCAGAGGCCCTAGCTCAAGTGTGTAGTACATAGTAGATATAACTAGTGGTGATTACATGAAAATTAACATAATACATGTAATTTAGGTCAATAGATTAGGCGAAGTTTTGATGGTATAACATCACTGCTTTTCACAACTGTGTTCAGTGTTCCCCACTGCCATGGCATCATCTGGGACTTCTCAGACCTTTGTCCTAAGAGTAAACCATTAAGAAGGAAGCACAAGGGGGAATTCCCTTTTTGTGTATACAGTCAACCAAACAGCCCTATGCTGATGGTGGGGAGCATTCCAGAACCAGCAGTAGAGCAGGGTTGTGCCTAGTGGCTGAAGTTTTATGGATGTACAGTTTAAACTCATATCCTTGGTACTAGGACCAGTATTTAGAAAATCCTATTGTATAATGCACATCTTTTTACTTTCAAGGCTTAAAAGTCATTTCCTTACCAGTTAATGATGTGAATGAGTGAGTAAACATATAAGTTCCATGAGCCGGTGGAGAGAGGGCTCCGCCGTTAAGAGCACTGGCTGCTCTTGTAGAGGATCCGGTTTCAGTTCATAGCACCCACATGGTGGCTAACAATTGTCTGTAGCTCTAGTTCCAGAGGATCCCATGTCCTCTTCTGGCCTTTTCAGGCATTGCACATATGTGATGCACTTCTGTACATTCATGCAACCACTCCTACATATAAAAGCTCCATGAAGCATTTGAGTCTTCCCAAACTATCTGCTGATGAGTCTCTTGATGAGTGACTTTTAACTTACTTAAGAAAGACTGAAAACAGGAAAAGGGTGGGAGCAGTCTCATGACCAAAGCAAACTGAAGGCTATGATGTATATCCCAGGTGGCTGGCTGGAGTCTTTCCTAGTGAAAACTTAAGTTAAGAACATCCAGTCTTGTTTCTCAGGCACCTCAAAGATCAAACATACTTTTCTGAAGAGGTCGCTTTGTGGGGCCTTTGATTCCAATGCAATCTGGGCAGTTTAATGAGCAAATTACTTTAGGTCTTTCTGGTCACTCCGAAGAGTCATAAAAAGAAAATCTCTGCTGTTTCCTGTCAGGATTCTCGTCACTCATAGGAAACTGGTAGCTAAGAAAGTTCTCAAGACATTCTCTTTGGTTGACTTCTGCACTAGAAGCTAAAGAGAAGGATAATGCAAGGATAAAGTCAAGTCTCATGGGTCCCAAAGCTACACTAATTTAAGAAAAGGAATAAAGGATTACATATAGATGTTAGATATAGAATCCTTAATTAGGACTCCTCTTGCAGGTGTGCGTGGGGTGTCCCAAAGCATAAGCTTAATTAGCTCCATGAAAATGCACCTCTGTAAAAATTAAGACAAAAGAGCCTGTGCTATAATCTTGATGGCTGGGACATTTCTAAACATTTGCCAACGAAAGGTACACATGCACCTGCTGAATATCGGTCCCTAGGCACCAGGTGTTTAAAGTGGAGCAAAGCAAGGCTGTGAAGATGACTGTAAAGGACCGCACTACACTGCGATGACAGTCATGCATCCAAGAAACCTCCAGTTTATTGGAGTATTTTAGGGAACTGGGAATCCTTGTGCATCAAAAAATCTTTCTAAATAGTTTTTTTTTTTCCCTCTCAATTCTCCTGTAGGTTAAAAATGAAAAGAAAATCAACATAATTCACCCAGTGAGATGACAGAAAGAAACGAAACAAGTAAATGACAGGGTGTGGTGGGGGGAGAGCGAGACCCTGTAAAGTGCTTACCCTCCTCACAGAAGCCCTCTCTGTGGGTTGAGTACATTCACACCGCATGTGAAGGGGGAGCGGTTGTGCTCCACGGCACTGAGATCACTCCAGTGGAACATGGTGGGCTGCCACTTTGCTGTCTTGAAGCTTAGCACAGGTAGTGCTCACTACAAACTTACTGAATGGAGGAATGAGCCAAATAAGCAATTCCAGTTTGAATGAATAAGGCCAATTTTGAAATGAAGTTTTACTTCCAATGATTCTATACTTAAACTTGTCAGACCTTTAGAGCTGAGAATTTTTTGCTCACTATGGCCTGCAGTTGGTGGCAAAAGGACTAGCAAATGACCCGGAATTAACTTTAATTGAGCACCAGGTATGTGTAGTTTTGCTTGGTGTTTGTGTGTATTGCTTTTTAATATTTTATTATTTTTATGTGTATGAGTGTATTGCCTGCATGTAAGTGCACCTGTGTAGTGCAATGCCCACAGAGGTGAGAAGAGGGTGTTCGTTGGATACCCCTGGAACTGGAGTTACTGACGGTTGTTACCCACCATGTGGGTGCTGGGAATCAATCCTGGGTCCTCTCCAAGAACAGCCAGTGCTCTTAACCACTGAGCCATCTCTCCAACCCGTGTGTTTATTGTTGTAACCACTCTGCAGTGATAGACAGGAGCTCAGAGCTCCCATAACCAATGGGAGCAAGTGGCTGAGCCAGGATTCAAACCCAGGTTTGTGTGTGTAAGCACTCTGACCCTGCAGCCTTCCTATCAGCTTTTCTTTCCAACAAATTAAGACACATGAAGCAGTGAAAGAGTAGATGGGATTCTCACCATCCCAAACATTTCGCTGCCATAAGCAGCAGGTCATTTGATGCTCATCTGAGAGTTGACAGGACTGGACTGAATAACCTCTGAGTGGGGACACCACATAACCAATTTGCCAGGTCAGCCTCAGTGCCTACCTACTGTGCCATGGTAACTGACCATCACTCTTTCCCCTCAGAAGAATCCCATTGTGGATGTGAGTTCCACAGCTGCCCTACCTGTAAGGTGCTTTCTGGTTTTTAATTTCTGTAACTTCAGGGTGAACCTAATAATATTTCTTTCATGACTGTGATGATTAATACTGATTGTGCATAGGATCTGAAACTGCCTAGGAGACAAGCCTCAGGGCTTGTCTGTGAAGTTTCTAGATTGGGTTAATGAGGTGGGAGGATCCATCCTAGCTGTGGGCAGCACCATTTCATGAGTTGGAGTCCCCAGACTGAATAAAAAGGAGAAAACAGGCTTTGAACCAGCATTCAGTTCTCTGCTTCCTGCCTGCAGATGTGCAATGTGGCCAGCCTGCAGCCATGACTTCCTTGCCATGATGGACTGTATCCTCAAACTGTGAGCCAAAATAGACCTTTCCTTACGTTGTGTTTGTCAGATACTTTGTTGTAGCAATGATAAAGTAACTAACATAATGAACTTTTCATTTTCCATGCTTGTGAGATGTAGGATTGACAGCATCTTGTCTAGAGGCCTTTATGGGTTTTTGTTTTGAGACAGGTTCTCATATAGCCCACGCTGGTGTTGGACTTGCTCTGTAGTTGAGGATGACCTTGAACTCTCAATTCTCCTGCCTTTACATCTAGAGTACTGGGTAGAAGCATGTGTCACTGTGCCTGCTAGAGCACATTCACATTTTTGATGCAGGTGTTTTCTGCTAGTGTTTCCTTTTTTGTAAAGGACACCAGGAACCCCCCACTAGCTGATTTACTTCCAATAACTTTGGAATCACTGCCTAAGTATTTGCTTCCTACTTCCTACTGGCAGTGACCACTTGTTATGTGGCTCCAGTAAGTCAGTGTTCAGTGTCTCGTCTCCTCTAACACACATTCATGCCTCTAGATTGTTCCTCACATTGCAGAACAGACAAGGTTAGAGAAAGGACTTCCAATAAAGAGACAGGGCCAGTCTTCCTACCTGCTTAACCACTGTGCTGTGATTAGATATATGTGTACAATACATACACACATTACAGATAATTTAGGAACTGCTCAGGGTTCTGAAGTTTGCAGTGGCTTTGCTGGATTTATTAGTGCCCATGCTGTGGTCTTCCTTGCTTCCAGTATTCATTTACACACTGACTAACATGCAGAGTCTCAGGAAAAACAAATAAGAATGGATTGGTAAGGAAGTGCAATGAATAATGAATATTTAACTTATTTATGAGGGTCATTTTTTTTTGCTTATCTTTGTTTACCATAGTATGAAACAGAAAACAGACACTTGCTTTTTGTTTATATTTATACAGACAGAAAAAGAAAACCCAACAAGTTGACACTGTATCATTTTGCTTTATTTATTGTCTGGCTAACTTACAAAGATGTAGATAGCTAGGGTAGACTGTACCCTACTATTTAACTATCCTGATGACATAGATACCAAAATGTGTCTGTTTACACAGAGCAGTGGCATGAAAAAAAATTCCTCTACAGTCCCTGACTGTAAGCAGGGGAAAATTAATTTCATACCCAGAATTTTAGGATACTTTAATAACTACCCCATTTCTGCTACTAAAATAACAACACTGGAATTACAAGTTAAAATATAAAATACAAATATGCAAATAATCTGCTACTTAGACATAAAAAGTTGATTCCTTTCAAATAACAAAGTAAGGCACCATTGGATTAAATATCTCAGCTTTCACTAAATAAAATGCACATTGAAATATATGCTGAACACTTGAATTTTAATACTGTAACATATATATAGTGATGTGAATGTTAAAATATGGTATTGCATCTTGAATACAATGACAGGAAATTTTATGAAAAAACCATATATGTAAGCTTTGATTTCAGGGAAGAAAATATTCACTTTTGTGATTTGCCACAGGTCAGGCTAAGTACAGAACTTATTCAGAGTTTTATATGCAATTGGGTCACTAACTTCCAAAGAAAGGATGTAGGTGTATTAATGAAACGTTCCCTCAAAAATACATTCTAAAACATCTTTATTATGAATGACAATTTTGAGCTGTGACCCTGTTTCAAATTTAGAAAGGTGCCTGCAAAGTTGAGATATACAAAGAATTGTCCAATTTTCATACCCCTTAAAAATTCAGACCCACGTTTTTTGAGTCAATTTTTTCTCTGCCATATCTGTAAGGAAAGCCAAATTCCATTTTTAGTGAAGTGGGTCTTTTAGGCTCCATTATAGAGATGTTTATTATAATTGGCATCAGAGCAAAGAATCCAAAATAAGGTACAAAATGTTAGAAATAAAATATTTGTCAAGCTTGTTAAACTTTTTATTTCCTGATTCTCGTAGAAAACAGACAAGTGGCAGAGGAGAGGGAGGAACAAGCTAATTACTAAGCCCAGGACTTTGGCAATGAAAGTTATAAAAATACAACATATTCAAATCAGTAAATTCATAATTTATTAGACATTTCAATTTATTAGAACTCCTAAGTTCTGCCTTTTATATAAATGAAACAATCACTCTATAAATAGGAATGCATCTCTCAATTTTTCTTTGGATTGATTTCTCATTAGCAACTCCCAGTAACACAGGAGCAATATACTGAAACCAAAATACAAAGTTCAGGTAGATACATATGTGGTCATGTGCTTTTTAAAGATAATGGCAATATTAACCATAACTATATAAAACATCAAAGTGGAAATACTTTTTCCAACTCTATAGCTAGATTTTAAAATCCCAGTAAAATGCTGTAAACAAAATCATATAAAAAAGGCAAGTCTGGCTCTTCCTGTGATCCTTTAGTGGAGCTTATTTGCATAGATCCAAGACAAGTGATTCTCCGGGATAGATTCAAAACCAATTCCCTCCAATTTCTACTGGTAGGCTCCTTAATTTAACCCACCCCAGTTAGTTTTTTAGGGTTCTGCCCATCATCTCAAATCTGTTCCCTTCTCCCAATTTTGATTTGATGCCTTTCCCTGACTTTCTTCCTTCCTACCTAGCATTCCTAGTCTTTCCTGGCTGGCCCTGAGGGGCTTGCTCTAGAGGAGAGAAACAAAGGCCACTTCAAGTTAGCAAGGCTGGTGGGTGCACCAGTCAGGTGGTGTTAACTGGTGGGAGGAAACTCCCACAAACTTTCAGTTTCTTCCCAATGGCTTTACCCTTGGTGGCTGTAAACTGTATTAAATCAATTTCTGACCTCCTGTACTTGAAGTAACACTTGTATTAAGTGAAGAGGCAAAATAAGGGACCAGAATCTAAGGTCATGATGTCTGCCAAACCCAGTGTTACATTTCTGACTTTTTTGGGGGGTACCTCCTGAATTGCTGAAGGTTATTGTCCAGCAGCGTAGTGATTAGGCACATGTGGCTATTGGACACTTGAGACGTGGAGATGTGCTCTACGTATAGAATGAACACTGAAGTTTGAAGACTTAGTACCAAAAAAGAATGCGAATATCTTACTGATAATTTCTATATAGATTACAGGTTGAAATGATATTTCAGATGCATAGATTAAATAAGATAATTTTTTTTTTTACTTATTTCTTTTCACCTTTTAAAAACATGGCTACTGGTCATTTAAAGACTGGGTATGGGGCTCATATTCTGTTTCTATTGGACAGCTGTGTCCTGGAGCCTACCTCAGACTGCCAAAGAGTGGACATCCTGCAACCACAACAGCTTGCTCAGCAACTTGCTTAGGCGGTCTGTGGTTCATAGAAACAGACAGGAGGCCAAGTGTGCGAAAAAGGCATGGACAAAAACAGCTCTCAAGGACTGTAATAATTATAGTCTGTAGCAAATAAGCAATGAATGTTTGACTTTCTGGGGCTGAAAGCTGGGATACAATTCGTCTCTGCCTACTCACCACAAAAGCTTATCGATCCCAGCAGCCGACCCTGGCAGGTTGCAGCTGAAGCAAGCAATATCTCAAGAATATATACAACCTAAAAAGCTCGGTGCATTTCTTTCCTGATCCCCACCCCCAAATGCACATCTTTCCTCCTCACCCTCCCTTCTGTCATCCTACTATAATTGAAGGGGGCAATGGAAAGGGGAGGAGGGTGTGCAATTCTTAGAGAGCAACAACAGAAGCAACTCTGGTGCTTGGGTAGAGAAGAGCAGGCAAAGATCACCTCGGGGTGGGAGGAAGGGGTGGGGCACCCCTTTCTCTTCGGTTGGATCCACCTTGATGAAAAAGCAGACAAAATATAATTTTGGTTAGAAAGCTTGCATTCTTACTGTGGAAATTCAGGGATGATTGCAAAGGTGCCCACTACCTTACCCCTGAGGCCAAGGGCTATAAGCTAATTGGCACATGTGGAGGTGAACAGAAGCAAGGAGTGATGTGAATAAACATGACTAAAGATGACGGGTACTGCCTACTGAGCGTCTGCAGAGAGCTAAGTAGAAACAAATGTGTGTGGATTATAAAATTGGAAAATAGGGATGAGTGGCTGGAGAGATGGCTCAGCGGTTAAGAACACTTTGCTGCTCTTATAGAAGATTTAGGTTCAATTCTCAGCATCCACATTCAGGGGATCTGACACACTCTTAGGGCCTCCTTGGGCACCAGGTACACATTTAGTACACATATGTACATGTAAGCAAACACTCATACACACAAAATACACATACACAAACACTCATACACATAAAATAACAATAAATAAATCTTAAAATAAGAAAATATGGATGAATAACAACAAAACTACAAAAAACTCACCTATGTGTGCTCCCCTAGACCAATACTATGTGTATATTTTCTGTTTAAATAATGCCTCACCCCCCCTTTTTTCCCCCAGAAATAGGATCATAAGTTAATTTGAACATTTTCCAAGTCAATACTCTTTGTAAATATAATTGCTAGTGACACACTGAATGTTTTTATATAGACTGTCCTATAGTTTAATCAATCACCTTTTGTTGGATAAGACTAATGGATTCAGGGAAGTTGTATTGCATTATAGCTTTATTTACATTTCCTTAGTGATTAGTGATTTTGAGCATCTTTTCATGTGCTTATCAGCCATGTGTGTATCTTCTTAAAAAAATGTCTATTGAAGCACTGAATTCATTTAAAATTTTTTGATTTGTTTTTTCTTTTTGAAAAATTTTGACATCTACTTATTGTGTCTATATATGTGTATGTGTGTGGGCACACATGTGCTGCAGTGTACAAGTGGAGGTCAGGGGACAACTTGCTTCTCTCCTTCCACCGTGTGGGTCTCAGAGAGTGAACCCAGGTTCAAATGCTGTAGGCAGGTCTGCCAGAGGCACATGTCTGCTTGGAAACTGCTCTAAGATCACCGGGCTTGCTCAGGGTGGTTTCTCAGCAGCTACCCTGCAGTGAATCTATGGACTCAGGGACTTTTCAGACAGAACCAAATATCTGAGCAAGGAAAGGAGTTAGAGGGAACACTAGTATTTCATTCTTTGTGTCTTCCTTTACCATTCCAACCAAATTTTTTCTTGAGAAGTCATCTGAGTAAGGATGTATCTGGACCTGCCATCGGTCATAGAGCCTGACTTAGGTGATCTGTTCTTATAAACCAATTTTACAGATGTACTTTAAGTACATGCTAGAAATATTGAAAGCAAATTTGTAAAATTGAGGGGGGGGGCGGCAGTGAAAAATCACCAACTTAAAAACGATTTAAAATGCCTACTCTATTTCAGGTCTGTGTCACTCCAGGAAGCTGTAATAGTGAGTGGGTCATTGTTCTAGCCCTCCAGTTGCACACTGAGTTGAACAGGAAGAAGGATGAGGAGGTAATGTGTTCAGCTGTAACACTAAAAATCTAGAGAGCATGGTGAAGATGCTTCTGTCATTGGTTTAAAAATGTAAGTGCTCTCTGATTCTATTAAGAATGCTTATAACAGATGAGGGAAAGTATTTAGAGTCTGAGTAAACAACTCCTTCAAGTGAATTCATTCTAGTCCCTAAGAGGGAAGAACAGACTACTCTCTTATCAGACAGAAGTGCCCTTCTGAAGAACACATATACTCACCTGTGTGCAAAACATGCAAGGACATCTGTTCCATGGGAAGGCTTATTTTTCACCAAAAACTTCAATCACAGGGCTGGAGAGATGGCTCAGTGGTTAAGAGCACTGGCTGCTCTTGCAGAGGACCCATGTTCGGTTCCCAGCACCCACATGGTGGCTAACAACTGTTCTAACTCCAGTTCCAGAGGACCCAGAGCCCTCTTCTGACCTTTATAGGCATTGCACACATGTGGTGCACTTTTATACATGCAGGCAAAACACACATACACATAAATAAATAAATTTTTTAAAATGTTAAAACTTCAATCACCACTCTGATGATTTTATTATAGTTATAACTTTTGGTATGATTGTCTAGCAATGCAGTGTTCCAACTAAGTAAAATTCTCTAGGATTAGAGCTTTTATTTTGAGCAACAATATTTTATTTATTTCTAGCATCGGACTTAGAAATTTCTCTAGAATATTTTCTAACTCTTTGAAGTCTTCAACAGAGGCACAAAACAAAATCTGATTCACTTAATTTAACCCAGCAGAAGTGTAGACAACAGAAATTGCTGGTATAGCCCTGTGCTACAGCATGAGGTGCTTTGGCTTTTCTCTTGACCTGAGATGGCCATCTGTAAGTCCTTCTTGAAGTCAGCAATTTTGCTTCTAAGCAGCTTTAATTTCAGCTGACATTAACATTCTCTAAGATTGGGAACTAACCAACCAAAAAATATTTAAGAACTGTGTAGTAACAGTCAACAGGCTCTGAGTTGTATAAGGTCCTCTGCTAAGGACCCTAGGGAGGAGGGACCTGGTTGTGGGTGAAGGTGTCCATTATGTGGCCGGTGGGAATGACTTTTATTTATATGTTTTTTATAATTTTACTTATTAATTTTATTTTTTGTGTATGAGTGTATTGCCTGTGCACTCCTGTCATGCAATGAATGCCCCTGGAGGTAAGAAAAGGGTGTCGGATCCCCGGGAATTGAAGTTACAGACAGTTGTTAGCTGCCATGTGGGTGCTGGGAATCGAACCCAGGTCCTCTACAAGAGCAGTCAGTGCTCTTAACCACTGAGCAATCTCTTCAGCCCTGAGTGTTCACTCTTAAAAACTAAATTTAAGAGTTAAGCTATTTGTTCAGGTGACCATAATGTCAGTATAGTAACAGTGCAGTGGCCTGCTGTGTCTGGTTCTGAGGCTGGGGCCACTGCAAGTCTCAACCTCATCAGGGCTACTTTTATATATTCCATGCAATTCTTTTTTAGTCCTGTGTGTTTACTGTTGTGAAGTTCCAGTGTGTATATTTCCTATTTGCTCACATTTCTTCTTCAACAGGGCAAACATAGTTTACTCCCTTAAGGTAGGCAGTACCAGTATTAGCAAGGAATGAGAGACAATTTAAATGTGTAATAATGGTCAATTATTGTATGCTGACTTAATCGACTCCTGTGGAATAAAAACTACATGATAAAACAGGGATGTATCTATTAAGCAGTTATATAAAACCAACCACCAAAAATGCTATACTGTCTTTACAACTGTGTAGTTCAGACTATATGGATATGGACTATAGACTATATGGATAACATGATGGGAAGAGGACTTTGTAAAATGAAAATATCTGTTCTGTAAAGAGATTTATTACATAACATTTTCATATAATATACCTAATATACCAAAAACTATGATTATAACACATTTAAAAGGTGAAGGCTGTTACAGTGATTTGTTTTAATTTTGGGGGGGGTTGTGGTCCTTTTTTTGTTTTTTTTGACAGGGTCTCCTTAGTCCCAGCCCTTCTGGAACTCACTTATGTGGACCAGGCTGGCCTTGCTCTCAGAGATCCACCTGCCTCTGCCTCCTGAATGCTGGGATTAAAGGTGTGGGCCACCACTCCCAGTTTTGTTTTAATTTATGAGACGTTTTTCCAGACTCAGATTACTACGCATAGAAGATGGCTTGACTTTTGCTGTCCCAGGAAGGTCAAAACGGGGAGATCATCCAAAGAAGGAAACTAATAAAATTTAATGAACCTGACAAAGCAAAGGTTTTCTAAGCTTGTAATAAGTGACACCTTAAAATAGTTATTTTTCATTCTGGGTACTTGAGAAGTTACCAGAATTTAGAGAGCTACACGCTGGGCTCTACACAGCGTGTTCCTACACAGCCCAAGGGTAACCTAGGCTTTCAAAGTATGAATCCACTGACAGTTCTAGCAGAGATACTTACTCCGACTTTCATTTCTGGCCAGCTTGCTGGGATAACTCTTAACTGTTTGTACATATGGCTCCGGAGGTGGCAAATCAGAAATTGGATGGAAGAAGAATCTGCTTTCCCACTCATCTGGGGAGACACAAAACAGTACCCTAAGCAACCATCAATCTGCTAGAGAGATTATGGAATGAAGGGTAAAGTGAGACAGAGAAACTAGTTCTGGTTTGGGTCCTAGAAGTTCACAGAGGAGCTGAAGGTGCTTCAGCCGTCCCAGCTTCCCTCACTGACCTTGATCTGCCAATCAAAGTACAATGATTCTAACCAAAGTGATCAGGATCCAACCAGTGTCTCTCAGGAGCTAGGGGCTAAGATATGGAACACTTTTCCTCCTACCAGTAGGCCCGGGTATAATTGGTACCTTTCTTTTTTCATTTCATTTTATTTATTTATTTTTATTTTATGTGTATGCGTGTATTGCCTGCATGTAGGTAAGTGCATCCGTGTCGTGCAATGCCTGAGGAGGTCAGAAGAGGCTGTCAGATGCCCTGGGACTGGAGTTATGGACAGTTGTTAGGTGCCATGTGGGTGCTGGGATTCGAACCCGGGTCTTCTGCAAGAACAACCAGTGTTCTTAACCGCTGAGCCATCTCTCCAGCCCCATAACTGGTACCTTTCTGATAACATGGCAGAGGTAAGCAACTTAAAAACTGTGACCACTGTGCCCCTTACCCACAGCCAACTGTTTAGAAATATAGATAATAAAGTGGCAATTTACAAACAGCGAAGAGCCATTACAAAAAATGGTTCTCTTAGAATTCTGGAATTTCTGCTACGTTAACTACACTGAGACTCAAACAAGGAACAAACCAGGGAAAAACAAACTGCCTTTTTGGAAAGTGGGGGCAAGGGGGAGCATCATAATAGGAAGTCACATTGGGTCCTAGTTAGATGGGATAGTTAGATGGGTACAGAGCAGTGTGGTAACAAAGCAACATCACCCAAATAAGCAAACATCACATACCTTCACAAGATGAATCTTGGAAGCCATTTCGAACCGATGTTGATGGTGGGGGAGGGGGAGGTACCCCAGCACCGGGCCTATCAGGAGGAAGAGGAGGCCTAGGTCCGCTTCTGGGACTGTCCACTCCACTCCTGGATGGCAACTGAGGGGTGGCAGGCAGGGCTCGAGGTGCACTGCCATTTCTGTTTATTGGAGGTGGTGGTGGGAGGGGACCTGGAGCAAAAGAGAACACATTTAGTGCAGCTCTGCTTCACATCCCACAGCCACTGTGGCCATCATCAGTCTGCAATGTAGAATGCCTGCTGAATACATGCCTTTTACCTAGGGAACATGGAAAAATGGGTGGAGACCTTCTGGACATGAAAAACACAAAGTACACATATGCCCATGTGCATAAGTAAAACGTGCAGAGTGACAGCTAAATGGCTGTCTGGCTTTGACTTAGTACTGAGGCTGGAGATGAAACAGTGAAACATACTGACAACCACATAACTGAAAAAACATTTTATCCTTTTAAAGACTTACTGAACTAATTACCATGACATCATGAAAGAATTTTCTAAAAGAAATAAGATAGATATGTCTTCGGAAGACCTGTTTTTAATTTAAAAAATTTTAAACTATTTTATTTATACGTGTGTGTGGCAGGAGCAGGGGTGGGAGGGGGGAGGTCTGTGTGCCATGGCACCTGTATGGAGGCCAAAGAATTCTACCTTCATGCACGTTCTAGGAACCAAACTCAGGTCCTCAGGCTTGAGCCACATTTTTACTGACTGAGGCATCTCGCCAGCCCCCAGAACTAAGTTTTTGACAGTACAGTATTATTGTACGTTATATAAGTGTTTTCCCGTGATGCACACGATCTGTTTCCAGTCAGAAGTGGCATCAGGAAATCAAATACTGGAGAACAGCAGGCCCTCCTTCTGGCTTCCTCCTCTTTGGGAGGCAGATAAGTACAGGGAGTGACAAAATGCTGGTTAATATCCCTGGCTACAGATGCCACAATGGGTCCTGTCCCCAAGCAAGCTGCTGCCTATGGATTCCCTGTCTGTGAAGAGTCAGGCAGTTGTCACCTTTTTCACAACAGTGCTACCAGGAGAAATTAGTGAAGAAGCAAATTAAAAATATTATGCATTTGAAACCACTTTTAAATTTAAGTTCATGGTAATACTACCACCTGACTGTTACAAAATGCAAATCAGACCTCCAATATGATGGTGCCTGATACTATGAAACTTGACCAACTTCATCTTGATATTTAAAAAAGTAAATGTTCATGTTCCTAACTCTCCAATCTATGGACTCTTGCTCCAAACCCAGTTGGCACAAGAGAAAATGTATTTCTATCTGTCATGGGCAGAATGATAATAAAAACAATCTTTTATTGAATACATGTTGAAAATGAAAGACCCTCTTTACACACTTGTTTCCTTTAATTCTTTTTTTAAAAAATTTATTATTATTTTTTATGCGTATGAGTATATTGCCTGCGTGTGTGCACCCATGTCATGCAGTGCCTGAAGAGGTCAGAAGAAGGCGTCAGATCCCCTAGAACTGGAGTTATGGGTGGTTGTTAACCACCATGCGGGTGCTGGGACTCGAACCCGGGTCCTCTGCAAGAGCAGTCAGTGATCTTAATCACTGAGCCATCTCTCTAGCCCCCTTCTCCTTTAATTCTTGCAAAAAGCATGAGAAGTACAAGGCCAGCAGAGAAGGTCTCAGAAATTCTTAGACTCTTAAAAAGTTCACATCAGCTACAAGGAGACCCTGTCTCAAAAAGACAAAAATACAAAGTCCAAGTCAGAAGGCCCATGAGTGGAAGAGCCAGGATTTAACTTCACCTCTTCACATTCTAAAGCTCACTTCCCTAACAATAAAGCCAAACCACATTTCAAAATACAGATGGCCATTGATGACCTCTCACATGCAACTATGGTAATAAAATTGGTACAAATTTTCTGGAAAGCAATTTGGCAATCCTTATGAAATCCATAATTCACTGTGCACAACCACTGATCTAGAAATTTAAAATTTAGAAATTCATCCAAACAAAATACACAGAGATATGCACAAATATTTAGCTACTAAAATATATCACTACATTTTCTGCAATGGCAAAATACAGAGGTGGTGACAGACACCTATAATCCCAGCACTCAGGAGGCTGAATCAGAAGGATCGTGAGTTCAAGGCCAGCCTGAATTTATATAGCAAGACCAGACCCTGTGTCAAAACCAAAATCCAAAACAAAATCTAGCAGTAGCCCACATGACTAAGGGAGGGAACTGATTAAATAAGTCAAGGTTCACCTATAAGACCTTATATTGTGTTGCCATTAAATGTTGGGCTGTAGCTGAGCGTGGTGGCACATGGATATAATCCCAGCACTTGGGAGGCAGAGACAGAAGGATCTCTATGAGATCAAGGCCATCCTGGTCTACACAGTGAGTTCCAGGCCAGCTAGGACTACAGGAAGACCCTGTCTAAAAAAACAAAAACAAAACTTAGTCTATAAATAATCATATCAGAAAATGTTAGATTTTTTTTACAAAAAAGGGAAAGTACCCCACAATTCATGTAATGTGACATCAATGTTGCAAAGATTATGTTGTTCATTTTTAAAAACTGTCATCAACTGTCCATGGCATAGTGATATGAAGGACTGCTTTTTTAAAGATTTTGCTTTTATTTTTAATTATGTGTATATGTGAGTATTTGTGTTTGTGCATCAGAAAGAGGGTGTCAGATCCCTGGAGCTGGAGTTGTGAGTGGCCTACTTGGGTGCTGGGAATAGAGGTCCTCTGCTACAGCAGTTCAGCGGTCTCTCCAGCCTAGTGCCAGCATTACAATCACTGGGGAACTTTGAACTATCTTGAGGTCCATTATCTTCCCAAACCAATTGTACGAGAAACTATGGGAAAAGGACCAAGGTTTCCGTGGTCCTAAAGCACCCCAGGTGATTCCAGTCTGTTTTCAAATTTGAAGACTACAGGTTTAAAAAACGGTGTTTATTAGGTTTAAGGGGTCACAGAGTCAGTCAATTTCTTCAGAAAAAAAAAACAAACAAACCCAAAACCTCACTTATGACATGAAGTAGGTATGTTAAGGTTAAATTTAAAAAGTAGGGGTCAGGGGTGGGGCTAGATGGTGGAGTGCTTGCACAGCATGACTGAAGCTCTGGTTTGATCTGCAGCAAAACACATACACACACAATTAAAAGTGATGGTCTACTGTCCATCTAAACCATATTAAAGTCAGTCACATGGGCATATTAAACTGAAAGTGCTTATAAGTGGGAGAAAGAGGGTGAACAACACAGTCTTCACATTCCATTCTATACTGTGGGTGGGGGGCATTGGGGCTTCAGCAGGCTCTTTACTGTGATGCTGGGAACCGAACCCAGGGCCTCATGCATGACAGCCAACTTATTCAGCACTGAGCTACATCCCCAATCTAACATGCAGAATTTGTTTCTAACTAGATGCATTTTTTATAGATAAGATTTACACCTTGCTTGATACTCCAAGGGATTTATGTATCAGAGATGTTAAAAAAGGGTGAATTGGATTTTTGTCTGTGCAATGGTGGGTGGGAGGGCAGTGGCCAGAACAGGGTAGCAGGCATCCTCCTCTATCACAGTCTTTTCCTTTTAGAGGCAATAGTCGCCCTCTAAACCTGGGGCCTGTGTTTTCTTGGCTAAGCTGGAGCCCCAGCCATCCTCTTGTCTCTGCCGCCCTCAAAGGTGAGGTTATATAGGCTTTTGCTGGATATTTGAGGATCAAGCGCCCTTCACTTGAGCTATCTCTCCAGCACATCTGTATTGAGTCTTTCAATATTTGAAGCGTGGCTAAGGGAGAGAGAAGTAGGTAACTGCCTTGTTTTGGCATCTCGTGGGCCACTCCTGAATGAGATAACATTCCCAGTGAAGCTCTCTAAAAGCAAGCTTCGCTTTAGGGAGGCAGGGTAGCAGAGAGTGAGTACAAACAGTGGGAAATCAAAGTTCTTGCTCTTCATTAGTAACTTGTAAGTAGTATCTTGCTAACTTGCTTGCAACCAGTTCTTTGTTGGTTGTTTGTCTGCTCAGCTCTAAAGCACAAACTGAAATATCTTCCCCCTTCCTCGATGTTTCCCCCAGGTCCTGACAACCTACAATCGGGAACAGTCTGAGGGCTTGCCTATGGTTTTGTTCTGTTTTCCAAATACTGCTGGCTGGGGGTATTTGGGCAGGGTTTCCCGGCGCCGACTCCACCAAGTCTTCCATACCTGATCTGCCCGGCGGGTCCCTCACTGGCGGAGGAGGCCTCTCGTTGGGCGGCGGCGGCAAAGGGCCGGAACGTCCCGGGGAAGGCAAGGGGGGTGCAGAGGATGTGAGGGACAGGTTCCTCTGGGGGAGCTTGGGGATCTCATCCCCGCCGGGGGTCGGAGGCAGCGGCGGAGGCCCGGGCCTGCTGGGCGGGGGAGGAGGAGGTGGCGCCTGGGACGTGGAGGAGGGCCGCGGGGTGGAAGGCACTGGAGGCTTGCTGTTCTGCGCGGGAGGCGCGGGCACCGCTTCTCGGTGGATGGGGGGCCTGTTGCCCACTGGAGGCGGCGGCGGAGGAGGCTTGTCGTCCACGGCCCGGCCTGGGGTGGGGGGCAGGGGGGGCCTGGAGAAGGAGGAGGAGCCCGAAGGGTTCTGGCGCACTGAGCCTCCTCCAAAAGCAGCACCTCGGTTTCCGGGAAAAGGGGGAGGGATGGGCCCCACGCTGGGCTGCCTGGGGGATCCCAGCCCTGCTGGGCTCCCCCGGTTGTGCAGATTTGACTGAATGGGTCTTGGTGTATTTGGGACTGGAGGAGGGAGGCTCTCGGGCTTTGAGCCCACGTCGGGCCTCGGGGGAGGCATTCGGTTCCTGGGTGGCTCCGGGGGTCCACTTCTGTGGCCTGGAGAGGGCGCAGGGAACCGCCCCGGGCCACTTGGAGGCGAAAAGGGCTTGGCAGATGTAGATCTTCCTCCTGGTGGCAAAATCGGTGGTCGGCTTCCGCCAGAATCTAAGGAGCAAGAAAACAGATACCCGGTTGGAGAGTGAACCCTAAAGAAACAGCTGGGGTGTATTCCCGGCTACCGGAAGGCCTTTCCCACAGTGCTATTGATTATTGGTAACTAGTAGCTACATAAACTTATATTAATTTTATATATATTTGTATGGTTCTCCTGGAGGCAGAGCGTCATATAGTTCTCTGTTTAGCTCAGGTTTTACAACCATCAGCTTTCAGAAGGATTCCAGAATTGTCAGGTAGCCAGGGCTTGGGAGAGGTCCCTATTCGTTGAGAGGACAGGAACACAAGTCAGGACAGCAGGATTTCTGCTAATGATTTTGGTTGATCTCCACTGTCACCTTTGTCCTCTGGTCCTTACACCACTCAGGTTTGAAAAATAATTCAGCCATCTTAGGTGAGAAAATGAATTACCCCTGTGTAAGTATCCTTATTCCAGAACTGACATCGTCCCTTTGGGAAGAAATGCTCAAGGAATGGGGGCTTTAATAGAAGTTATGACTGCATTAAGAAAGAACTAGAAAGGAAAAAAAATTGACACCAGTAGGACTTCATTTGCAAAGAAGTAGGCAAGGACACATTTTTAAAAAACCCAACGACTAGGTTAACTTTCAGTACTGGCAAGATTGAATGTCCCTATAACTGCTGTGGTTCAACAAGTGAACCAAATCTTTGGTTGAACTAAATTTGTTTCCTCCAATAAACCAAAATTTGAGGAACTAAAGGAGGAAACACATGAAGCAAATTTCAACAGCTTCTTCTTGAATCTCTTGAAACCCAATGTAATTTTTGAAAAATGGTTATCTTTAAAATATTTATCACTTCAATCAACTAATAAATATTTATTATGCACCCATATTCTAGATGTTAGAAATAGATAAGTCAAAAAAAATCCTGCTCACTTGTATTTTATATTCTTACAGGAGAGATAAACAACTGGTAAACAAGTATTTTCTAATAGTTAATATGTACAAAATAGCAGCTAGAATAAAATAATAGATCAAAGTGCCCTGAGAGGTCAGGGCAGATGGGGTGCTAGAGCCAGCTCTTCTGAGGATAGGACATATGAGCTGAGGCCTAACAAAAAGGATCCAGTTATGGGAAGATGAGGAAGAAGATCAGGTAGAGGGCTAGCAGCTACAAATGCCCTGATATGGACAGAAGCATCAAGCCCCAAACCAGAAGCCTAGGTACCACAGCACACGGGAATCCACAGGAAATGGATCCCAAGTGGCTAGGCCAGAGGAGGTCAGGTTTATCCCAGCACTTGGGCCGATTTATTCAGTGGAATAATGTGAACCCGAGGGAGATTTTTTTTTTTTTTTTACTTTATCATTAGAAAAAAGAAAGCTATATTTTTCTTTACTAGGTGGTGGAGGTCTATGTCGCCAGCTTGTGATTTATCTTCTAAATTTATACTGAGGCTATAGTTACCATCTACCCTCACATAACTACAGGTTTCCTGGAACTGACTTCAGTTTCGTTACCTGTTGTGAAAATACTGAATGCATGCATTTTTTCCAGCTGCCTAACATCTTGTTGGCAGATTTTAGGGAAATAACTATATTTCAACACAAGTCTGTCAAACTTCTGTAGGCGTCAGAAGCGAGACTCATGCACTCTTCAGGGTTTTGTTTAGGAATGATCAAGTTCATCTTTTCTCCACTTTCAGGTTCACAGGCACTACAGGACATATTCCCAGGACTCTCTGCAGAGAAGATGAGTTGAATATTGAGTCCAAAATCTGAAATGCTTTAAGATCTGAAACTATATTTTGACAGTGCTGGGAATTGAACTCTTGTTTATGCTAGCCATGTACTCTGCCTTTGAACCACAGCCCTAACTCTAAAATCTGAAGCTTTTTGAGCAGTGGTATGGATGATCCCACAAGTGAAAAATTCAGTACTATAAAACTTTGCTTAGTACATAAAATTAAAAACAGCTGGGTGTGGTAGCACTCCCCTTTAATCCCAGCACTCGTGAGGCAGAAGCAGGTGGATCTCTGTGAGTTCTAGGCCAGCCTGATCTACATAGTGAGTTCCAGGCCAGCTGGGGCTACAGGGAGACCCTGTCTCAAAAAGATTAAAAACAAACAAACAAAAAACAAACAAAAAAAATTAAAAACATTGTATGCAATCACATTCTAGCTGAATGTATAAGATCTACATGGAACCAAAGTAAATTCTGTTTAGACCCAGGTCCCATCCTCAAGAGATCTCATCATGTTTATGCAAATATTCCAAAATCTGAAATTCAAAATACTAGTTTCAAGGATTTCAGACAAGGGATACTCAGAAGTGGCACTAAAATACCAAATGTCTGTCATGCACAACACCTGTTGGTACTTAGTGAGATTTGTAACTATAATTTCTATGACATGCTCCACAGTATGTTTATAAAATGGCTCACAAATATTTGTTGCACTTGCTAGGTCACTGGGCAGAGTCTGGGGGATTCAAGTTCTATTTGCCCCTTCTTGCTTCTCTTCCCAATCTAACTCACCTTTTAAAGAAGTACAAAGAGGATGGGTTATCCTGAGGACATTGGGAAAATAGTTCATAGTTCTGTGGGGCTCCCTGATCCTGGCTGATCAAGGTGGGGAGCAGGGCTACAGCCTCTCATCAAACAGGGGTAACATCTCAAACAACGTAAATGTTTTAAAGGGCACAGACAGAGCCTTTGGTGGGCCTGACAAGCCTCTAACTGCCAAGTTGCCACTTCAATAAATCAGATAAGGAAATTCTTGGTACCATTATCCCTGTTGGCTGTGGATCTCAGCTTCGGCATTCCAGCCTGGAACAGTCCTCCCAATCCAGGAGGTCCACCCCCTCCGAAATTTCCACTGCCACCACCTCCGCCGCCACCTCCACCAGCACCTCCACCATAGCCACCACTGCTACTGGCACCGCCTCCTTTTGGTTCTGGAGAGGAAGAAAATACATGTGAGTACGCTACCCAGCCTGGCTGCAGGAAGCCATAAAGCAGCAATGAGACAGCTGGCTGGAGCTCGGCCTCTGCTGGACAACATGGATTTCTTCACTTAAAGATGGGATTTTAAGCAGCTGCCCTACCCACAGTCAGGGCAGAAGGGGTTTCTTTCTGCTGCAAGGCTATACTGGTGCAGTGGTAGAAGAAATGGTAAGAGGTGGTGGTCAGTGCTCACACTGCCCACTTGACTGGCTGCCATAAGGGATAATATCTATTTGTCCTATATCCTAAAATTTAGCAAATAAAATGATCTTTAAAGAAAGAAGATCATAAGAGAAGGGAAGATTAAATAAAAGGTGAAATAAACATTTGGTGGTATACACCTGTAATCCTAGCACTTGGGAGGTAGAGGCAGAAGAATCTTGAGTTTGAAGTCAGGCTGGTTTATGTAGTGAGGGACAGGCCAGCCTGGGCTACCCTGTGGGACCTTGTCTCGCAGGCTAACAACAACAAAAAATCCTCAATGCCAGGAATGGACTCCCTGTCTAGAAGCTGTTGACCAGCTGATGATCTCATAGACAATCAAACAATACTGTCCATTGCCCCTGCTCTTGGTTACCCACCAGAACTGGATGGTAAAACCCTATTAATGAAGATACTACATACATGAGCTGTAGAACAAACAAAGAGAAATCAAGCTGGTGCTGACTGCAGATACTCGTCTCTACTGGCTACTGTTTATCATGCTGGAAGGTGCTATGCATGCTACCAGAAGGAAAAAATAATCATCAACCTTACCCAGATGTGAATCCTGTGAACTACAGCAACAACTAGCCTGACAAGATATGCCCACCAGAGCAATAGGGGCATGAATACTATGGATTAACCAACCGCTTTCTAATTGGATTTAAGGTTCATCACTTCATAGCATGAAGCCCACACCTGACAATGATATCAGACTTAGGAACCTGAGGCTAGACAGGTTATAAGACATAGGGGAGAGCCTAATACTAATTTTCTCCTAAATAGTTATTGTATTAAACTGACTCCTAATGACTTATCATTATACCCATATATTAATACATCTTTCTCACCATAGAAATTTCTTTATGGTGCTTAACACAGAAACCCACAAATGGCCAATGTGCAGAAAACAAGAGGGTGCAGTGTGCTCATCCCTGAATAGGATGCCTACATCAAGCCTCCTAAGGCTCAGGGATCATTGTGGAAGAGGGGACGGAAAGATTGGAAGAGCCAGAAGTGGTGGATGACCAAAAGGAAGCAGAATTTTCCAGAAAGCTGGGCAGTTGCTCACATGAATTCACAGCAGTGGTGACAGAATGAACAAGTCCCATGCAAGTTCAAACTAGAAAAAAATTCCAGCAAAAACATGGGGAAGTGGGTAAGAAATCCCAACCAAACCTAAGAAAATTTTGGTAAGTGATGGCTGCTGGGAGGGAGAGAGATCGTCTCTTTCAAGAATAGAACTCTTGGTAGGTTAATTAGCCTCCAGTGGATGCACCCACACTAAAGGACATTTGAAGATACAAAATAGACTCTATAGGCCTTAATATATACATAATAAAGTACATTAAATTGGGTGGGGGACAATAAAGAGAGGTGTGGATGGGGAGAAGATCTAAATACTGTTATATTGTATGAAAATCCCCAAATTCAATAAAAAAATACTTAGAACTTAAAAAATAATAAGACAGGCCAGGAGATGGCTCATCAAGCCATGTAAGCCTGACGGCTTGAGTTTGATCCTGGGAACCCACTAAAGATAGGAGGAGAGAACCAACTGCACAAAATTGTCCTCTGGCCTCCACATGTGTGCCATAGCACACACATGATGCCTATATTCACATACACATATCATGTACATACTCTCACACAATAATAAAAGCAAAAAAAAACCCAAACTGAAAAATAAATAAAAGTTTGCATTGTATTTTAGAACATTAGGTGTATTATGACTGTACTTAACCACCTCCTTATTTGATGGTTTTCTGGGTTAAACTTAAATATTGTTTTTAAGTATAAAGCCCAACTGTAAGCTTTAACAATGTAAAAAGTCTGCAAATTGAGGAGATTTGGTTTTATTATGCATTTATTTGCAAAAATTGTGAAAGATTTTGAAATAGGAAACAAAAAAGAAGGAAGAAGAGGAGGAAACAAAGGAGGACCAGAGAAAGCCTACTACACATCCCATCCAGCCTTCTGTGTTTCCCACTGCCTTTGAGTTGTATCTCTGGAAGTTGTAGAAAACTGTTCAAAGACATATAAATGACTGTGTTCAGTTTGAGACAATTGATCACAGGCCTGTTTTATACTATCATAAGCTTATTTCAGCACTTAATATGTTTTTATATGTACATATGCCTTTCTATGTGGCACTGAGCTGATGACATACTGGTTGTCCTATTAACAAGTTGAATTAAAAAATTGACATATTCACTTTAAATCTCTGTGAGAGACATTATACCCTCTTTTAAAAATTCATCTTTTTAATAATTTAGGTATGTATACATGTTTGTGTTTATATAAACACTGTTAAAAATCTTATTTTTCTCCAATGATACCCAGTCTTGGATAAGTATTACAGGCATAAGGTCTACAAATTAATTGCAAGTAACACTTTACAATGTTTAGATTTTACATTTGGAAACCGCATGTTTTCCCATTTATGTCTTCTTGATTTGGGGGGGGGTTATAGTTTTTAATGATATAGGTTACACATGCTTCTTGTTAGGGTTCCTCTGAATACATTTTTTAAAGCATTAGAATTATGAAGATATTTTCCTGTTATATTTTTAAGTTGGTTATTACTGACATCAAGAAATTTCATTTGAGGGGCTGGGGAGATGGCTAAGTGGTTAAGAGCACTGGTTGCTGTTGCAGGGGACTTGGGTTTGGTTTCCAGCACCCACAGCTTTCTCTGTTGAAATGATTTAATAATGAATTGACAAGAACTACTTTACCTAACAGGATAAATCAAATTATAGCATCGATTCTAATAATATTAATATTGTCCTTGTCACCCAGATATTATTCATCAGTGACCAGGACATTTTTAGAATAACACGCTTACGCTACATGTTGTTGAAAATGAAAGCACTTGCTGTACTATCAGGTACATTCCATGTTCTCAACCTGGAGCACCTGCTGTCTTTCAGGTGGCGAAGTGCTATGCCTTGGGCTTATGTGTATCCCCCAGGGCTTCCATGTGGGAAGCCTGGTCCCCAGTGTGGTCATGTGAGAAGGACTCCGGACATTAGAAAGTAGGGATGGCGGGAAGTAATCAGGTCAGTGGGGTCACTGCCCCTAGAAGGAACTAATGTGGTTTCATAGGATTCTAGTTCTTGAGAGAGGGTTATTATAATAAAAGAGCAAGTCTGGCCCTTCCTCTCTCTTGCTTTCTGTCTTGCCATGTAATCTCCCTTTTGCATGTACTTCTGCCATTGTTATGCCATTCACATGAGATCCTCACCAGAGCCAAGCCAATGCTGGTACATACCCTTGAACCTTTGAACTATGAGTTAAATGAACCTCTTCTCTTTATAAAGTACTTGGTGTCAGGTATTTTGGCATAGTAACAGAAAATAGACCAATGCAAAAAGCTAAAATTGAGGATAATTGCAGTCTGGCCACAAGTCATTTTGTATGAATGGCAGGACAGGGCTGAATACAAAAGCTATCATGCATAAACATTGTCAACACTTATGTACAACCCAAGGAGGTTCCACATGCAAGCAAATACAAAACCTTGGATGAACTCTGCCACTTGCAAGGATCCTAAACAGCAGTATAGGTATCCAGTCAAGTGCAGGGACAATAAGGGAATGAATTGGGTTATGTCCTGCTTCTGTCAAAAGAAGTGCTCTCCTCAGCACCACTGAGCTGCTGGCGGGGAGAAGGACTAGCACTATTTCTATATAATGAAAGAAGTGGGCCTTGAAGAACATGGTGTTTCCATTACAAGCCCAGACTGTCCTGCTCCCTCAACATTGTGAGGAATTCACACCCACTCCTCCTGGGCTCTAAGCTCTTTCTCATGGTGGAAAGAGCCTCTGGCCTCTGCCCTAGAGTTAAGCAGCCTCTCCAGCCCCACAATAGGGACCTCAACTCAGATGACTGTTGGACCAAAACTTCCCAGATCTAACCCTGTTGGGTTCCCAGAGAGAAACACTGCTGAGCATTTTGATCTAGAGGTCAGACTGTCAAGCAGTGAAAACCCACAGTTTCTTTTCTGCGGGGTGTGCATTCTTATTTGCACAACTGTACTTGATAACAGCTGTGCAAAGGCCTTCTTATCTTCCTAGGTAGTTTCCGTTCCTCTCCCTTGCCAGGTTCTCATTTTACTCTGATTCGCCCACCTTCTTCCTTCTCTCCCCATTAGGCCCTCCCCCATGATTCCTTTATCACTTTTCATCCTCCTGAAATCCTGCATCATTATTCACTTATCTAGAATGCTCCATTAGGTGATTTTTGGAAGGTCAATCCCTAGTGTGTCTAAATGAGATCCCAGGCTAGGATGAATCTTGGTGATATCTGCTGGGCAGTGGAGGTTATGGAAGGTGAAAGGACAGTCTCAGGACCTGCATATTACCACTGGATGCTAGTCAGGGATGCTTTTCACTTTATCATAAATGTTAATGAGCAGGCTTACATTGTGGGCACTTTGTTTATATTTATCTTGCCTTAGTGTGGAAAGTATCTCAGACCCTGATGTAGAGAAAGCAAATTTATGATCTCATTTCCTCCCTCTCTAAGCTCTAAGTAATCATATCTTTCACTAATTTCCACTTTGCAGAAAACAAAGCATTTCACAAGCCTTATCTCATTTGAAGCTCAAAGCAGACTTATGGTCGGTAAACAGGTTTCATCCCACTTGACAACTGAAGCAAGGCTTGGAGATGCTGCTTGATGGATGTGCTGGGACCTGGACCCCATCCTCTGATCCCAGGACTGGGGCACTTTCCATGTTTCATGCTGTCTCATCATCTGTGATGCCAGGAGCAATGGGTTAATCTCCAGAAAGCACTGTGAATAATTCAGAGAATCACTACTGTGTATATCTTGGACAAAGAATTATTATGCTGGCTTCCTGCAGCATTAGAGGGGAGCTCAAGCCAAAGCTGTGGCCTACAATGAGTGATACAGTCCCTTATTTTGCTAGTTTGCAGCTGTTGGAGAGAGAGAGAGAATATTTAGCTTTAAGCAAGAGAGAGAAATAGGATTGTTAGGCTGTAAGTCATCTATTACTATCACTATGGAAAAGAGCTGTTTCCACTTACTGTCCAGCACCGGTGCACTTCTGTCGTTGGTGACTGTCTTCTTTAGTTTCTTCCCTTTGCTGATGTCAGAGAGAAGAGCATTTCTCCCAGCCTGCTCTGTCTTATTCAAGGTAGGCTTCTCTGTATTGGCCTGAAATGAACCACACACACTTATATGTGCTCTTGGGGTAAAATCATCTGCTATGTCATTCAGTGGGCCAGGCAGAGGATTGGAAGCTTGGTTTTAAGGTTCTTGGCGACTTTTAGACACCATGTCATTCTTTCCAAGATCCAGGTGTTTGGAAGCAGACGCAGCAATAAACTACATTCTGTTTCAAGGCAGGAAGAGTATCTGAGATAAAATCTTAAATTCAGACCATAATTGGTCTATAACCAAACTGCTGGGTTATGCTAGATAGCTCAGGAGGAGGGAACTGTAAGTCTGAGTGGGTTCTGCCACCTGCTGTTGGTGTCTTTCTTCAGGCTGTATCCTGAAGAACAGGGGCCCTTTCCTTTAATGTAGGACTCACCTGCTGCAAGAGAAAAATGGTCTCTGACAAACTAAGATGCATTTTCAAACTCACTAAAGTTTTAGAAAATATTTTCCTCTAACTACATGGACAAAGTTGCTTCTTCTGTTTCTAATTTATCAGACTTCTTGAGGTATAATTTACATATAGCCAAACCCTCCTTTCAGTTTACAGTACTACTGGTTTTGACAAACATGTAACTATCACAATGAAGATAGAAAACATTTTCCTTACCCCACAAAGTTTTTTCATGTTCTTTTGACCTTAAGGTGTTTCTGATGTTTAATCCCTTTGAAAGTTTAGCTTAGAGAAAGTACAGGGCTGCTTTAAAACGTTTGGGCATTTCTTATATTCCCAACAATCCTTACCATGAAATAGAGATCTTGTTCCTTCAGGGCTATTTTAGGAATGTGCACACCAAGAGTCGCGCACATGGAGTTGGAAGAAGGCATCTGTCTGTGTCTGTCACATGCTGATACTGACTTGGCCTTGCTCATCTTAGGGAGAGGGTGGCTGCCTCAAAGCCACAGGTCCTTTCAGCAGGCATGAGAGTCTTCCCTGGCTGGCCCCTTCCTTCTGAAAGGGGTGGGATTCTAAATAGGCCTTTAATGGCCACAAGAGGTAAAGCTGGAGAAGCACAGGGCTTGACGACTCCTCCAGGCTTTTATCATCAGTTAGAGGCAGAGCGTTAGCTTGGCCACATGGAATTATCATACACCAAGTTGCAAGCATCTTGAAATAATTATAAAACATTACTTGGTTATGATAACAGCTAAGCTAAGTACTTTCCTATATTTAATTTTAATTTATTCTTTATCAACCCTGTGAGTTACTTCCATTTTTCAGACACAAACAAACAAACAAACAAACAAAAAACCAACAAAAACTCAAGGCACAAGGAAATCAAATAATTTGCCCCAGTCACCAGAGAGTAAGAGGAGAAGCTGGGATTCGAACCATGGCAGCCTGACTCCAGAACATTCCCTGTGCTCTGAAAGAAGGGAAAATGTGGGCTCTTAAAGCCCCTTCCCTATAAGTTCTCAACACTCCCTGGAAGCAGGTGGGAGCTCCCCAGCTATCCTTACAGAAAATTCTCTGCATTAACAGTTTGCTTTTGCTAGTGGGATTAGTCTCTATTATTCTGAAACTCCTTTTTTTCCTTTTTTTTTTTTTTTTTTTTACATTCAAGAACTTTAAAAATTATCCACTGTATGCAGGACACGGTTGTTCACATCGTCAATCCTAGCACTCAAAAAAAAAATTACTGTTTCCATTTTAAGAATGAAAATTGGGGAGCCGGAGAGATGGCTCAGCAGTTAAGAGTAACGGCTGCCCTTGCAAAGGACCCAGGATCAATTCCTAGCACCCACATGACAGCTAACAACGATCCGTAACTCCAGTTCCAGGGGCTCCAACATTTTCTTCTGACTTCCAAAGGTATTTTACAACATGGGTGCACTTATACACGTGCAAGCAATATACTCATACACATAAAATAAATATACATATATATTTAAAAAATGAAAACTAAGAATGAGAGATTACCTGATATATTCATATTGATCTCTCTCTCTCTCTCTCTCTCTCTCTCTCTCTCTCTCTCTCTCTTTTTAGACAGGGCCTTCCTGTAGCCCCAGCTGGCCTGGAACTCACTATGTAGACCTGGCTGGCTTTAATCTCAGAGATCTGCCTGCCTCTGCCTCCCAAGTACTGGCATCAGGATCACATAGATGTCCTAGAATTTTGAGTCAACAGCTTTCAACAGTGAATTCCTGTTAAAAATTCATCTTGGCACCTGACCTCCTTGGATGCCAGCTTCCCTCAGGTGTCAGATTATGACCCTTAATTACATTGTTCAACTAGAACAGCGTCCCCTCCTGGTGGCCATCAATCCACCTTTCCTTGTCTCTTCTCGGTATCTATTTCTCTAGGATCTTGCTTCAAGTTATGTAATAATGATTAGAAACAAGATAAGGCTTTCTCAAAATTTTCTTTTTCAGACATGGTCTCACTCTGTAGCACTACTCTGCCTCTAAGTTGCAACGATCCTCCTGCCTCATCCTCTTGAGTGCTGGGATTACAAAGTGAGCCACCACACCTGGTTTCAAACTTTAATTATTTTGGTATAACAGTCATGATCTTTAGATCTTCTCTTGTTACCTGTGTTATTATTTATTCAATAGTTTTCATTAAATCAACTTACTATCTTATTTTCTGTACTATTTTTCAATGAGGATGTTCTTTTAAATCAACTCACCATTAACCCCTGGCTTTCATGTGCCAATCAGTTTTTAGAACACATATTTAAAAAAAAAAAAAAACAGGGCTTAGGAGGCAGAGGCAGGCAGATCTCTGTGAGTTCAAGGCCAGCCTGGTCTACATAGTGAGTTCCAGGACAGCTGGAGCTACAGGGAGACCCTGACTCAAAAAGAACAAAAAAAAAAAAAAAAAAAAAAATCAACCTTAAAAAGTCTAAAACTTAACATGTGCAAATTAGCAATGATATATAAAACACCGTTAGACAGAAATCTAGATAAACTAAGCCTGCTGTATAAATTAGCTACAAGTTTTTTCTAACTTATTCATGCAAAAGAACAGTTAAAAAGTTCACGGACAAAACTGGATGTGGTGGCACATGGCTTCAGTCCCAACATTCAGGAATCAGTGGTAGGTGGATCTCTATGAGTTTGAGGCCAGCTTTGTCTACATAGAGAATTCCAGACCAGCCAGAGCTACGTAGGGAGACCCTGTCTCAAAAACAAACAAACAAACAAAAATTGATTGACTGACACTCTTGTAAAATAACAATGAATTATTGTAAAATAGGTTAAAAAAGATACATGAAACCAAATCTTAGAATAAACCTATCATCAAATTGCTATAACTATTTTAAAATACTTAAACTCCATTTCTGTCCTTGTGTCCTTAGGGATGTTAACAGGCAGCTGGAGGACCACATGTTAATGGTCATTTCTTCCCAATGTGGTTGCTGTCTCAGAAGAGTTCTATAACCGTGTCCCCATGGAAGCCTGGAGCAGGAGACTTTTTTTTAGCCCCAAGTCTCTGTTTCCCTATTCAAGAAATGAAGGGACTATCAGTGTGAGGCTGCTGAGTAGCAAAGGCTCACATGGTAGGGAGGGCCTTGGAATGGAGTCTTGGAGTCTTCCTGGAAAACATGTACTAACCAGCCCAGCAAAAGAACCAGGATGAGTGCAGTGAGGAAATCCCTTTGGGAAGTGATCATTCTAATACAAGGATAGGTTCAAGTTATGAGAGTGTGTTGGAAAGGTGGTAGTGGTGATGGGTGGGAACAATATTTGTCAAAACTAGAGTGGGAAGAAAGAGGGGAGAAGAAAGGAGCAGACTGAATGCACCGCAGAGAGCCCTGGCTTTCTGGACTGTTCCACTCAGGAGTTACTGGCTAGATGTTGAGTTCATTTGAATGGAAACAGCACATGCTGCTTCAGAGCTTCAAGTTTCCTGCAGACCCTTGTCTTGAGCCATCCTATTTCTCACAACAGAACTGACAGAGGAAACCTGATAATCCACACTTCAGGCTCATATCATGCAGGAGATGTCTGTATTCTTAGATTCAAGAGGTCTCAACCAGGTTCTAATCTCAGAAAGACTGGGCCCTGGCAAAGTCTTCTATAACAGACCTACGCCAGAATGCCAATGCACTTAAAACCGTGTGCCAGGTTCCGACTCTGTTTGATCTTCTTGATACATAGAAAACGAAGAGGGAAAGCTGCTGTGCTGGCATTCTCGGAAATCCCAGCACTCGGTGGGCACAGGAGGGTCACAAGCTGCAGACCAGTCTGGACTTTTTAAAGGGGCTGGAGAGATGGCTCAGTGGTTAAGAGCACTGGCTGTTTTTGCAGAGGACCTGGGTTGGGTTTCTAGCACCCACATGACAGCTAACCAGTTCCAGGGGATCCAACATCCTCTTCTGACCTCCATGGGTATTGCACGACACAGGCACACTTACATGCAGGCAATACACTCATACACATAAAATTTAAAAAATATATATTAAAAAATATCTTTTGAAAAAGAAAACAATAAAACAAAGAGAAGATACTCACAAGTGCAAATGTTGGTGGCGGTGGGGGTGCTGGCGGGGGAGGGACTGGCATTTTGGATAGTTATGCTTCAACAGTCTTGCTGATCAATCTGTAAAAACAGAACACAGTCAACTATCAGATTTCTTAATAGGCTGTCCTAATCTTCTTACTTTCCTACAAAGTGACACAGGTCACCTTTTAAAAGAGGGTGGAATGACCTTTCTTTCCCTCATTGCTTAGATGCAACTGTTCCGGAAGGTCCCTGGGTGTCAGGGGCAGGGGCAGTTGGCTTCTGAGCCAAGATACTGGAAGACTGGGAGTTATGTCCAGTGCCAGTGCTGCTCAAGTCCATCCTACCACTGAGGGCAACAGCGGAATGAAGTGGTCCTAGGCCTGTGCCTTCAGGCTCAGAAAGGTTTTCATGAAACCACTAGAGATGTATCCCAGTTCCATACGGTGGAAAACTAATGCATTTCAGGTAGCTCCTCCGCTTCCTCATGCAGGTACATAAAATCCTTACTTTCTCACCACTCAGTCCCTTTTGAATTAGTATCAACATTTTAACAAGACCCCTAGATGGTCCAAACTAAAATCTAAGAAGCTGTTACAGAGTTTGTGCCTTAAGCCATTGAGCAGCCTGGGACAGTGGCCACCTGAGTATCACAATTTCTATACAACACATGTCCAAAATTTCAAACAAAAGGAATTAATTTTTATTTATTTTTCAATAGTCTCCCATGCAGAAAAATCAATTCTTAGAACTTTTAATTTAGCTTAACCACTAAAAAGTTAATGTGGAAAATTTACACCTTAAAATAAACTTTCCATTGAAATAATGCAGGACAGCTTGTTTCCTGTGAACAGAAATACCAAAGAAAGAACATTGCTAGAGTTGTTACATCTGCTTCAAAACAAGCATTAAGAAAGCTAGGAACAGTTCCTTTCAATGTGTACTAACTATAAAGTGGAATTGAGCTCAATGTGGTGATGTATCCCTATAATCCAAGCACTTAGAAGGCAGAGGCAGGAGAATCACAGCAAGTTTGAAGACCTACAGAGTCTGGTCTACATGGCAAGTTCCAGGTAAGTCAGAGCTGTAGAGAGACCCTGTCTCATATACATACACACATGCACACACATACACACACACACATATATGAGAAGGTGGGGAGAGAGAGAATTTAAAGATACCCCACAATAGTAACAGCTATCACTGAAAATCACTGATAATCACCTGGATCCAGGCTCTTTACCTGAACTGTCACTAACACCTTCAACAACACTGCAAACTAGCACAGCTGCATTCATCTTAAAGCTAAGGATGCTACGATCTAGACAAATTGATTCACTCACTAAAAATTCCATGGTCATTCATTGGAATAATATTTTTTTGATCCCTGCTCTTCCACTGGACTACACTGCCCTGCTCCCTGCCCTTTTAAACATTTTCAGGGAAGCTCAACTGTTAACTACACTGGAATCTTTTGAGGTAAGAAGCTTAAACTAGGATTTTTTTCATTGTGTTACATAAATTGGTTTTTCCTGCATGACACCAATCTTTTCTCCAAGGGGCCAAATGGGTGCTGTTAGCAAGGCTAGATGCCCCTATAAAAAGGGAGCTTCAAATGCAGAGGGCACCTTCAGAGGCCCTGGAGTTGGTCACTTCCTAGGTCCTAAAAGAAAGGCTAGGATCTGAAGCTGAACTTGGCCCTAACTGTGGAAGAAGCTGGCAGGAAAGCAATGGTATTAACAGAGCTGGAGAAGGGTATCTACCAGGGCAGGAGGGGAACGAGGTCTGTCTGATGGGCAAGACAGATGGACTCCATGGCACAGTTCATCCATGTGCTTGGTGGATACAATGCCTCTCAAGACTTTATTTTATCAGATGCCAGAATGTTAGTTGGTTTAACTTTCTGTCATCCTGTTAGCCCAATACCCAGAAGTAGATTCTGGTCTACTAACAGAAATCCCTATAGTTTGGTGGCCACAAGTCAGTCTATAGTTTCAAGAATCAAACTTCTGTGTGGCGTAGCTCGGGAGTCATATTGTGGGACGGGGCATTTTCAGGGAACTGCCACCTTTTCTAAAAAGTTCCTTAATTGTTCTACAATTCTTTGCTGCCTGTCGTTTTAGTCATCTGAGCATTAACCAGCTTCTAAATAAACGTCTGGACTGCAACTCCTAGAGGAAATGTGCTAACAGTGGTCCAGAAGGCTGGTTTGGGAGAAATAGCAATGGTCTTGGCTGGGACCAAGTCTCCTTTGAAATTCTGGCAAACTTTAGATCTATTGCTAGATCTTATTGCTTAAACCATTAAGAAATGTGTATTTCAGTATAATTTCCTTTGTAGTCTATTTTTATTTTATGCACTTCAAAACCATCATAGAAGGAATCATTTGGGCTTTACCAGATACCAGTGTGGTCTTGAGGAAAAGGAGAACATGAGGCCAGGGTCAAACAAATTTGGTTCTACCCTTGCTCTGGCCGTGTAGGACAACAGCCTCTGGGAGCCTCACTTTCCCATCTGTTAAAGGAGGAATTGCTGAGAGAATTAAGTGAAATGCTATGTGTTAGGAGTAAGGCACAAGGGACTGTTTAGGAGAATGAGGACACACCCTGTTGGTGTGCAAGCTACTGAGCACCTGGAAGAGGAAGGAAGGGCCTGACTCTGAGCGCAGTGGCCTTGGCTTTGCCTGTCTCACGGTAAAGCTTCTTGGGTTAAGGATGAGGCAGTCAGGTCCTGGGCCTTGAGGCCTGCACGTGTTCTTCCCTCAGGGGAGAAGTGTGACAGGGAGGGCAGATTCTGGGGTCAGAGGACCCTCTGACCAGAGGAAAGGCCTAGGGAAGTGAGTCCCAGAATGGGCTGTGTCATCCTGCTTCCTACCCCTTAGCTCCCCACAGTAGGCCACTCAAAGACCTACCATTGGCAGAGCCTTGGCCTCCTTCTCTACCCAACCCCAGGTGCTGAAATTGTATAAATGTACAGTTTGAGAAGGAATTTCTTTGTCAAGAATTATTTCAATGTTTAAATAGTGTTCATTATAGAGAGGAAAAAAGTCATGCTTGCTCAAATGTTCACCTGGTATGCGGGATTTTATATGTACAAGGAAAACTCCAGGGATGGAAAATGGTTTTATTTTCACAGTGTTAGGGATTGAATTGTGTCCCTCCAGATTCATATGTTGAAGTGCTAAGGCCTGCTACCTCAGAATGTGGCTGTTGGAGACACAGCCTTTAAAAGGAGATTACATTAAGAATGAGACTTTTAGGATAAACTGTAATTCAAAACAACTGATGTCTTTGTAAGAAGTGGAAGAGGCACTATGACGTGCACACATGGGACAGAATGCGCAGGCACAGCACTCAGTGACTCTCGACAGGGCAAAGAGAGACCTCAAAGGAAACTGTTCTGCTGTCAGCCTTGATCATGGACCTCTAGCCTCCAGAATTGTGAGAAAATAAATCTGTTCTGTGAGCCACCCACCAGGCTCTGGGATTTTGTTATGGCAGCCCTAAGAAATGAATGCCCAAAGTTTTAACAACACATGTTTGTTCATTAATTGTGTAAATAGGATTCTAGCTTTTGAATAAACTTTCCATCAACCAATTTCTCACTCAAAAGTTCATTAAAGAAATAAAAAGAATTGAGTCTGCATAATAGTATGTGATTGTCAAAGCTTTTTAAAATAACTAAATCATCAAATTTTAGAGGGAATAGTTGGAGAGGGGAAGACTGCCAATCAAGCTTTCATAAATAAGTTGACTCTAAGAGTCAGGAGAAAGAACAGAATATTTTGCATTTGACTCAAATACTTCAACTATTATTTCTTCTTTATGGTACACAAATGCACATCACATTTTGAAATTCTAGCATGTCCTAGTTTTGTGAATGAAATAGTTGGCGTGATGGGCTTTACTTTAATGCTATTAGCAACACCATGGTTCAATACCATATTAGATATCACACACTGATCCTAGATCAACTGGATATCTTGGACCCATTTGCTAACCATGCAGTGCTGGTTTCAAGATACACCTTATAAGAGCTGCCAACCCATTTTGTTTCCAGAGCGGATATATCCTCCCTAATGGTGAGGCTAGCTTGATGCTCAACCATAGCTTCATAGTTCAGTTCAGATTGGTCCCAGGAAGCTCACAGCTTCCTTTTCAATGTGCTGGGAAAAAGAATTGACCCTGAACATGAAATTATTGATTTTAGGATCAAGAGAATTTGCTAGTTATTTAAAGAAGCTGCTTCTTAGTTTTATAGCTAATTTAGAATTCAATTTACAGCTCACTGTATGAGGCCACACCACCTAATAATTGTAGGAGAGAATTTCCAATAGGCCACACTGGCAACACCTGATGGCCTAGAAGGGGGCTTTCTGATCCTAGGTAGGGGAGGGGTTGTATTAGAGAAGACAGAAAAGGCTTTCTCCTATTTCATCACCACTCCAGGCCATTCGACAACACAGAACGTTTTGCCAGAAGTTACACTTAAACACTATCTTACCTAAAACTGAATAGGAAAAAAGTATCCTTTTCTCCTAAAGAAGGTTGACTCAATAATGGGGTACTTTATTTGCCTTGTGTGGGAGGATGAGGGAAGGCATCATAGAAATAATACAAAAAATAGATCCAAAGGTCTCACTGTGTTCTTGCCCTCGTCATTTTTGTATTCTTTTAGCATTTCCATTTACATTTTAGTTTATATGTATGTAATGTAATGTTATTCATTTATTTTCATGATTTCTTATGTGCTCTTTACTCCTTCTCAGCTCAGTTCTGCCATTTTCTCCCCTGCTTCCAAGGGAAGCACTGTAGAGAACAGGCGACACCAAAATACAACCAAGGTTGTGTTTATCCTTAGAAAGAAGCACTCAATGAATTTTCAGATTAAAAAGTTCTTGGGGTAAATAACTTGCAGAGATAGTTCTTATTTTGATGTAGGGCACACACCTACTCCTCTCAGGCTGGGGAGAAGTTCTCTCATCACACACACACACACACACACACACACACACACACACACACACACGCACGCACAATTGTTTGACCAAGAAATATTAATAGAAAGAAATTTAAAACACATGTAATTCAACAGTATTT